CTGGGGTGATGACGGCGCGGGCAACCGGCTGGGGGGGGGGGCTAAATCCATGGGCCTGACCCTGCACGGGTGGAGGATGCCGCTGTGCTGGCAGGGGATAGGGATGATGCAGGGCCCCTGCGCGTTGCACTGGCATCGAATCGTGCGTGTGGGCGGTGGGGTACTGAGCTCGAGAGTCCCTTGTACGGGGAGTGAAGGCACAGGATGGGGGAGGCTTGTGGATGACGCTCATCCAGAAGCCGGTCTCTTCACTGTTTATGTGGTACAAGAGATGTACAGGGTGTTCAGCAGAATATCGAGAAAAAATACGTTTCTTGCTCCCAGGAAGACTGATTCAGACAAATATGATCCGAGAAACAAGTTTGGGATGACCTGGAACCATATAACTTATTTGTAAAAACATGGTTAAAACTTAAGAATATGCAGATTTTAGGCGTTATCCCTGGCATATGAAATGGTGCTGTAATACTCTTAGAAAGCAGAACAAAAAGTTTTTGCTTACTGTCAACAAGATTGTTTTAGAAGAGAAAGAGTTATCGGACTCCTATGCTTCACAACATGCCTGTGGATATATAAGAGCTGGGAGAGGTGTTGCTTTTGGGAGTTAGGTGGAGAATGACACCACTCACAGTGCATGTCCATTTGCTGTAGGGATTGAGTGAATATAAGAGGAACTTCAAATGGGAAAAATCAGATCTGTCAGAGTTTTGTGACCCTTCACAAGAGCAAAAATCCTCAAGGGCTGGACTTCGATCTGATCAACTAGGTAAGCTATTAGAAATAACTGCCATAACTTCTACATCATCTTTGCACAGAGCCCAAGTTTTGCAGAAAGTGAACTTGTAGTTTGCATTATTTATCTAACCCCTGAAAAGTACATGCCATTTACCAGTGTACATCAAACTCTAAACATAGGCACAGAGTTACCACAAGATGGGTTGTATTGCAGGAGCATAGGGTGGAGTAATCCAGTAAATTAGGTATTTGAGATGTTTGCGTTCTTAGGCTTATAGTGGTACAGGATAACAAGATGAAGATTTATCATTGAGAGGCTTTCTGAAAGATGGGCTTTCAGTACACACATGAAGGAAGCCGCAGGTCTTGGAGTCATTATGCAATAATTAGGAACTATTGCTGTTTGCATGAAAGAAGACAGGCAGGAATTAGAAGAGATGGTAAAGGACACCACACATGGGCTACGTCTAGACTGGCATGATTTTCCGGAAATGCTTTTAACAGAAAAGTTTTCCGTTAAAAGCATTTTCGGAAAAGAGCGTCTAGATTGGCACAGACGCTTTTCCGCAAAAGCACTTTTTGCAGAAAAGCGTCCGTGGCCAATCTAGACGCGCTTTTGCGCAAAACAAATCTCAGCTGTCTACACTGGCCCTTTTGACCCAACGGGAGCAGCATAGTATTTCCGCAAAAAGCACTCATTTCTTACAGTAGGAAGTCAGTGCTTTTGCAGAAATTCAAGCAGCCAGTGTAGACAGCTGGCAAGTTTTTCCAGAAAAGTGGCTGATTTTCTGGAAAAATTGGCCAGTCTAGACACAGCCCAGGATGGAGTAGAAAGCAAAAGATGAGTAGGAAAAGTTTGAGGTAGTGTATGGTATAGACAAAAGAGATTAAAGAAAGGTATAGATATGAATATGCAGACACTCTGCAAAGTGTTCATATTAGAATAAAATTAGTTGCCTCGTTTGAGCTTGACATTTAAACCTTATTAGTAAAATTGCTTGTCAATGTAAGCAGTAGGCAATTTGATAGGATAATTACTTATCTTGCTAGAGCTACCTTCTGCCTCACCACCTTCTGCTCTAAGTGCAAGGTACTACCTTTGACCTTGCCTTTTCTAACAATCATATAGCAATGTGTATAGTGTTATTAAAAATATTCCCCAAACAGAATACTCTGTAGCTCACACTTTTCCCCTGCTGAGACAATGAGAAGAAACACCTGACAGGTTGCAGTCATGTGGCTTTATGCACTACAGGAAGTTTGTCAGATACTATAGTGATGAGTTCAGTGTAAGAATATGCATTTTTATTATAGAATGTAATTTACCTCCAGTGAGATTTCATGAAGGGTGAATTAGTAGGCACCCGGGGCTTGATTCTTAGTGCCTTTGCAATCAAGACCAAGGGTTCAGTTATTCATGGATCCAGAGTTTCATAGGAAATGCTAAGCATGTTCAGCTCCAAAGTGAGGGCAATATACTCAGCCCTATGCACAATCAAGGCCCTGGGTTAGATAATTAACCATGCCCTTCTTCTTGGCCTTGGGTCTTTTTAAAAATTGAAGTAATCTCAGTTTAGATTTTTTTTAAAAAGATAACTTCATGAAAGATCAAATCAGAGTACAGGTAAATATCTACTTTAGGAAAACAGCAAGCTTTTTTTTCTCATGAGCTAAATATAAATTAAAATTCTTGTACCAGACCCCACATTTGCACTTACCTTTCCTTATCAAGGAAAATGAACATTTCTACTCATTGTTTCCATAGGAATGCTACGTTTTAGTACTATTTGTGTCTTAAACTGGTACTTGCATTTTAACAATTTATAATTAATATGTCTCCATGTTATTGGATTTTATGTTGTCACTTTATTTCTAAAATTAAGATTTTAAAAATTGTAGTGACACTTTTGAAATTGCTTTTTCTACTCCTCTTGCAAAGTCTTTTGCACAAAATGCAGTTAAATGTAACTCTGAATTCAGTGGCGTTGATTTTTAAGTTAAACAGCTCTCCCCTCTTTTTCGGAAGTTCTCAGGAGGAGTTTTGCAGGTAGCATTTAGAAATCACCTCACCATCAGAGTCTTTTCTGTATGTTTCTGAGGACAAATAAGAAGTTGGAACTGTCATCTTTGCTGGTTCTCTCTGGTTTCTCAAACCAAAATGGTTTTCAGGTAGTCACTGACAGCAAGACTCTCAGAGTAATTCCAAGAAAGCTTTTATTTGAACCAATATTGCTAACACCAAACATTAAAAAAAATCACGTCTTAGCTCCAAAGTCATAGAATTGATTAAATCTTAATTTAAAAAATGAGGTAATTTTTGTTTACCTTCTGATTTAAGCCTCTGTAAATGTGTCACATTTCCAAGTTTTTTTCCATAGCCACGAGAGCTAGAACCTTTAAAGTAGGGCCACATCTTCACTTCCTGGAAGATGGATGCTATGGTGGTCGATTGTCTGGAGTTCGTTTTAGTGGGTCTAGTAAAGATCTGCTAAATCAAATGCTGAGGGTGCCCTCAGAACTCCTACCCCTTGCAAGGAGAGTAAGGGAAGTTGATGGGAGCATTTCTCCCATTAACCTCCTGCTGTGAGGACGCGCCGAAGATCGGCTTAAGGTATGTTGACTCCAGATATGGTTTTTTATGTAGCGGAATTGTGTATCTTAAGCTGAACTTTGGCCGTAGTGTGGACTTGGCTTCAGATGTCATATACCTAGACTTTAGAAAGGCATTTGATACGGTCTCGCATGATATTCTTATTGATAAACTAGGCAAATATAACTTAGATAGGGCCACGATAAGGTGGGTGCATAATTGGTTGGATAACCATAGTCAGAGAGTTGTTGTTAACGGTTCTAAATCCTGCTGGAAAGGGATAACAAGTGGAGTTCCTCAAGGGTCTGTTTTGGGACCCGTACTGTTCAATATCTTCATCAATGATGTAGATATTGGGATAGAGAGTACTCTTATTAAGTTTGCAGATGATACCAAACTGGGTGGGGTTGCGACTTCTTTGGAGGATAGGGACATAATTCAAAATGACCTTAGCAAGTTAGAGAAATGGTCGGAGGTAAACAGGATGAGGTTTAATAAGGAGAAATGCAAAGTGCTCCACTTAGGAAGGAACAATCAGTTCCATACATACAAGATGGGAAGCGACTGTCTAGGAAGGAGCATGGCGGAAAGGGATCTAGGGGTCATAGTGGACCACAAGTTGAATATGAGTCAACAGTGTGATGCTGTTGCCAAAAAAGCAAATATGATTCTAGGTTGTATCAACAGGTGTGTTGTAAGCAAAACTCGTGAAGTCATTCTGCCGCTCTATTCTGCACTAGTTAGGCCTCAGCTGGAGTACTGTGTCCAGTTCTGGGCGCCACATTTCAAGAAAGATGTGGAGAAATTGGAAAGGGTACAGAGAAGAGTGACAAGAATGATTAAAGGTCTAGAGAAGCCTATGAAGCCAGGCTTCATGAACTGGGCTTGTTTAGTTTGGAAAAAAGAAGATTAAGGGGGGACATGATAGTGGTTTTCAAATATCTAAAAGGGTGTCACAAGGAGGAAGGAGAAAATTTGTTCCTCTTGGTTTCTGAGGACAGGACATGGAGTAATGGGCTTAAAGTGCAGCAGGGGAGGTTTAGATTGGACATTAGGAAAACATTCCTAACTGTCAGGGTGGTCAAATATTGGAATAAATTGCCAAGGGAGGTGGTGGAATCTCCCTCTCTGGAGATATTTAAGAACAGGTTAGATAGACATCTGTCAGGGATGGTGTAGACGGAGCTTGGTCCTGCCTTGAGGGCGGGGGGCTGGACTCGATGACCTCTTGAGGTCCCTTCCAGTCCTATTATTCTATGATTCTGTGATACTCATCTAATCTCTGGGAACTAAGGATTTAATCTAAACATCAAATGTCACAAGACTCAGAAGCATGTGGGTTGGCAAAAACACAATTTCTTGTCATGGTTTTTGGTGTACTTAGGTTGTGTCTTTTCACTCTTTTTTTTCATTTTTATTCCCAACTTTTTTTCTGGTCATATTTAATCAGATACATCCTTAGAACACAACTCTCAAACTGCTAGTGTTTGGCTCGCTCTTGGCTCTTTCTGTCAAAATACATATTTAGTAGTTTCTCTTAAGAGATTATGTCAATTTAAGAATTGCTCAAAACAAACAGATAATGCTGAAAATTTCCTTCTGCCATTTTCCCAGTGTTCTTCCAAAGGTTACATTACTGTTTATGGTATTTATATGTTTTGTATCACAAGGATTCTGTGCATCTGACATTCTGTATGTTACCGTCTTCCTGAAAAGATGATTTAGTCTCTTTCCAGCTGCATTGTAGTTCCTCATAGATTAGTTTATATACTCTGTCTGCCACTACTCATCTCAGTCAAATAGAGTCCTTTGTTAGTTTAACACTCTCCAGCCGGATTGTGTTGTCACATGTTATTTAACCATTGTATGTTTAACTATCATCTCCCTCTTAAAATGACATGGTAATTTTGTTAATTGTCTTACATAAATCAGCTATTTTTTGTTTAAAACCGTCTCAGATAATCAGTGTCTCTTTCTTGTGTAACTATGAAAATGTTTTTCCAAGTTTTAAAAATATCATACTGTATAATGTATTAAAGAAAAGTTGTTTTAAAGACTACTTTAGAAGGTTTTTTTTAAAAAAGGGATTCTATGCAGATATCCATACAAAATATTACGTATATGGTGGCTGGTCACTGCTCTTCTTTGACTGTAAAGTGAGAATCTATTCAGTAATGCACCTATTCAAAATACTTCAGTACAGGCAGTCCCCGACTTACGTGGATCTGACTTACGTCGGATCCCTAGATACGAACGGGGTGAGGCAACTCCCGCACATGCGCAGCAGCATTCCCGGGGCTCGCTCACCTGGGTACTAGGATCCTCCTCCTCCTAGGGCCGGCTCCGACTGGGGTCCCGCAGAGCTGCCGGGCAGAGGAAAAGTGCCTCCCCACGCCCGCTGCCTCCCCCACCCCCTGCCAGCAACAGGCTGCCCCCTCCCCTGAGCAACAGGCTGCCGAACAGAAGACAAAAGCAGCCTCTCCGCTCCTCCTCCCCCTATACATGCTGGGCTCCCTGGGCAAACAAAGACTCCTCCAAAACAAACAAAGTGCTGGCCTCATTGTGTTAGCTTTATTTCCACACACCACCCAGGGTTCTAGGAGGAGGGTCCTTTTTTTGCTATTAGCTCAAAGCATGGTGCAGAGCTGTTTGGTATTTGATGAGTTACTCCTTTAGTCCTGACTTTGTCACAGGGACAGAAATAGATGTGAAATCTTCTGAACAGGGGAACAGACAGAAAAACAAACATTAGAGGGGAGTTAACCTTTCCCTATGCTATCCAAAACTAAAAAAAATGTTTGGCTAGAGTTTCCCCTACAATATGTACCAGTTCCGACTTACATACAAATTCAACTTAAGAACAAACCTACAGTACCTATCTTGTACAACCGGGGTGAGGCACCCCCGCACTAGCTACTTCCCCCCAGCAGACTAGGGAGATGCGAAGCTAGCGCGTCCCCCTCCCCCCGCCCAGCAGACCAGGGAGAGGTGGAGCGGCTTTTCTCAGCAGACACTTCAGCTTGAGAATAAAGGGCTGAGGGAAGTGAGGTGTGGGAGAATAAAACTGAGCTCTGGAGAAATGTTTGGCTAGAGTTTCCCCTACAATATGTACCAGTTCCGACTTACATACAAATTCAACTTAAGAACAAACCTACAGTCCCTATCTTGTACGTAACCCGGGGACTGCCTGTAGTTTAGGAAGTTCCATGCCACACTTGGTCATTATCACAATGTGATAATTTTAGCCACATTAATCTTCTTAGTGGCTGCAGGTTAAGTTTCTGCCCTGAGCTATGTTCACTCACTCCCATTGACTACACAACAAGTTGCAAAAGAGGCAGAATTTGGCTTGTGGAGCTTGATCCTGTGACAAGCTAAGCACCCACATCTCCCACTGACTCAGCTAGGAATTAAAGGCAGTCAGCATGTATGTAAAAGAGCTCAAACTTTCATAGGCTCGTAGTTTGTAACTGTTCTTGCTCAGAGATATACAAAATGTATTGAAGATCAGTCTTGTGTTATGTACTCAGATTTTCATCCCAGTATGTTAATATTCTAATCTTGTGATACAGTATCTTTAAATCTTACTAGATATATTTTATTGTGCTCAAGTTTAATGCATGTTTTGTAGGAATCACAAGAGAGCCAAACTTCATTTCCAAGAGAAGGGTGCCTTACTTCAACCCACAAATTTCAAAGTCCTTTGAATGGAGAGGAGACAGTGATTTGGAAGGATATTTGGATGACATACCAGAAGCTGAAGGTTTTGGGCCTGCAGAGTTACACAAAGATAACCACAATAATGACAGAAGTCTGGAAAATATTGAAACACCGGAAGCACCTAGGCTTCCTAAAAAAATTAGGTCACACTCTGCAGATTCTAGAATTGAATCGGCCATCATCCTTGAAGAAAACAATAAGAAGTTGCCACCCCCGACGCCAGAAAACCAAAAAGCAGTATTTGTACCTCCAAAAAAGCACTTAGAAAAAATGGATAATGGGGTAGGGATCCTGAAAGACGTTTTCCCTTTCTTATAGTCTAATGGTAAAGTTAATGTGACTATTAAATTAAATATAGTTAAGATAGCTTTCCTGCTTAAAACTATTTTCTCTTTTTGTTATAATTTTGTCTCTATGCAACTATGAATTTTGACATCAATCTATGTTAAAATTCCATTATGTAGGAAAAATGGGACCAGATTCTGATTCTGCCTAAATCCATAGGAGTTTTTCAGTTGGATTTTTAGTTTGTAAGTTATGGTCTTCAAAGATGTTATAGAGAATGAGATAGTGTATCTTTCATTCAGTTACTTGTCTTGATCTAAGCATGGAAATGATAAGTTTAGTTAAAAGTAAGTTGCAGCAACAGAAAGTAGCAGAGAACACTAAATGAAGATTCATTGTTTTATGTTGACCAGTTTCACAGAGTCCTGCAAAAGAAATCAGGCATGAATATTTCACCTTCAAATAATTTCCCCAGAAATTCTGAATATCAAAGGCAGTTTGTATGGAAAACCCCCCCAAAAAATTCTCCATTACTTGCAGCTGACCAGGTAATTATAAAGAATCTGAAAAGTAAATATATAATTTAGCTTATCAATCAAGAAACTAATTTAATAACTATTATTTCCTTATATTTTGTGGTAGTAGACTGATATGTTACTTTATAGTGCCACTTTTGTTTTTTAATATATAAAAAGCATATTAATTCACATATACTCCCTTATAAAAAGATCTGATCCTGCATCTCCCTATGCAAGCAACATTTTCATTGAAGTTTCATATACTTCAGTGGGAATTTTGTTTTGTGTAAAGTCTGCAAGATAAGTTCAGTAATAGTTAAGTGTTGTAATATCACATTGTTTAAATTATGAAAGATTTCACAGAGTGCTCCTTTGAATTGAGATTATATTACAGTGTTTCTTAAACTTTTTAAGACTGAGGAACATCAAACAATATTTTTTTTTAATGAGGAACACCAAGAATTTTTTGTTGAGGGGGAAAAAGAAAAAAGGGGGGGGGGGGAAGGTCGCCTTCCCCTTTAAGGGTGGCCATTTTAAACTCTGTTGTTCTCTGCGGCACGTCTCCGACTGCCTTGCGGCACAGTTTAAGAAACGCTGTCCTATTACTATGAGTCTGTTGCTCTCCTAATTGGTGTTCATTAAAACAGCTGTTCCATAGCCAAGAACAGGAAGTCTGAAACAGTAGGGTTTTTTTTTCTTTCACATAGTTTTCTTCAAAAACATAGAGTAAAGGCCCTTGTCTTGCAAATGTTTGTGTGTGCTTAAACTTACTACCATTTCCTACTAATTTGAGATCAATGGGACTACTTACAGTAGTAAAGTTATATACATATACAATGTTAGCAATATTAGGGTTTAAAATTTAATTTTTTATCATGAGATTCTAGTGTTATTAACAGAGTATTGGATCTTGACTTTCTAACCACTATCTGTAAGCAACCTGATGAAAAGTACATCTGAGTATTACAGTACTAGAGACACCTAATCCTTGAACAGATGTATTAAGAATGCCCAAATTATCTCCGCCTCAAGATGATTGGTCTAATCCAAGCCCATATAGTAAAGTTGAAGAAAAATTATCTCTTAAAGGACATGACATATGCCATAGTCTCATTAGTCTGTGGGAAGATCAGGTCTGACCATTTGTAATAGTCAAATTCTCTTTTTTAGTTTATAACACAGAATTAATTGCAGAAAAAAGGATGGATCAAATTACTGTGCAGTAGGAACATTATCTTAAACCACAAAAGAGTCCATCAGCAATGCTGACAGACTGAAATGTTGGTTTTATGGTGTCTTGTTTCAAAAATATGTGATGGGTACAAATCTTAAGGGGAATTGCAAAGATTTGTCAATACCTTTTTCCCCAATTTAAGAAAATAAGCTTTTTGCTTCTTTTTTTTTTTAAGTCATAAATAAGGAAAAGCAGTTGGGTCTAATCTTGGAAGTGTTCCTGAATTACATCCTTGCTAAGAAATAAACTTAAAAATAATTACTGAAATTAAGTTCCCCATTTATCCTATACATCTAATAATTAACTTTTCCACAAACAGTATTTGTTCGTCCTTTGCTCTGTGTACATATTAGTGCATCATTATGATAACTGATTTTGAAAATTTGACTTCAAGATTAGCAAATTAACACTATATTTTAAATTCAAAGGTTATTCACAATACAAGTAAATCCATTCCCCAATTTAAGTCTCTTGCAATTACCCCTGAAACTGAATATGAGAAAAGTTTCAAAGTTTCTCCTCCAGCGAAGGAACCAAAATTGAGGAGTGATTTGGAAGAGAGAGAATTTCCTGTATGTGCACCAGTAAATATGTCACCTGAAAAAAAGGTATTAATATACTTCAGTATCTTTGAATGGTCTGTTTTAGTGTGTTTCCTGTTAAGTTTTAATTATTGCATATGACACTGACATTGGGAATGGTTCTGCTCTAAACCAGGAGAAACTGAGCAGTGTAGACACGCTCATAAATTCAGTCTAATGCTGAATACATAGATGCCATGGTCATGTTTCTGTGATTTCTGTATCCGGTATCTTTAGTTGACAAGTGAAAATAATGTTTTGTTATGCTGTCTACCCATACACATCCTTAGCTTAGCTCTTGAGAGTCTTTCCTTTCTGTGTACTGCTGCCAACAATAAGGAATCTGCTAGCCAAGTTATGCCCTGCTTGTCAACTATGCAGTCTCCTAATGCCCAAGCATGAGTAGAATTGAGTGCATTTTTGTATTGAGTGTGTGGCTTCTCTAGGTCTAACAGGAGTAAAAAGCAATAAGTGTTTTGTAATCACAAAAGTCCAAAGCTATGCATTTGAACTTGTACAGGGAATGAATACAGTGTGTGTAAAGATACCAATTTTACTGTCAGTTTTCAGACTACAGTTACACTTAAGGGTGCAGAGATTGTAATTTTTATTCAACTCACTTTTTAAATTGATAGGAAATTAAGTATTAGGCCAGCACACCATGTAGTATAGACCAGGGGTGGCCAACCCATTCAACAAAGAGAGCTGAAACAGCGGCGGAAAAAATGCAAAGAGCTGCACCAGAATTGTCGAGCCAAAAGGGGGGGGGGAAGGAGGCTGCCCCTTTAAGAAGCAAACGTAAGCTTTTTTGGCCATATCAGGCTCCTGTCGATGGCCATCATCTTGGGCGCCATTTTGAATCACCACACCAGTGAGCACAGGGGGGCTGGAGGCAGGGGCCTTTTGGGGGAGGGAAGGGGCGCAGGAGCGGCTTCAAAAGCCGCACTTTTGGGGCTTGCGAGCCGTGTGTTGGCCACCCCTGGTATAGACAGATTCTAGTATCTAGTTCAAATATTAGGATGTCTTTTGTAAAACCCAGACAATAGTCAGTTATCTCTTAGGGTATGTCTGCACTACTACCTTAGTTCGAACTAGGGTGGTAATGTAGGCAACCGGAGTTGCAAATGAAGCCCGGGATTTGAATTTCCCGGGCTTCATTTGCAACTCCGGTTGCCTACATTACCACCCTAGTTCGAACTAGGGTGGTAGTGTAGACATACCCTTAGATATTATATCCACTAAGGTAGTGATAGGTAAGGATGTTAGTGTATAATTGAATAGTCGTGTAACTGCATGATATTTTAGCAATTACGTGACTATTCAATAGTTCCTGGGGTGGGGCCAGCAACCAGTGCACTCCCGGCCCCTCTCCCAGGGAGCCCCCATCACTCCGTACTGCTGCCCCTCTATCAGAGGGGTGGCAGGCAGGAGCTGGTCCACGAGGGAAGCCAGTTTAAAAACCAACCTGTGCCTGATACAGAAGCAGCAGCATGGAGTGGCAGGGGACTCTTCAGGAGTGAGGCTGGTGCACCCTGGCTGCTGGCCCCTCCCCTATACAATAGTCGTCTAACTGATAAGAATTCATGAGGTTACGCGACTATTCAATGAACCAATATTTACTGTCCCTAGACCTCACTGCTTCCCCTTGCCACTTGGAAGTGAAGTCGCCTACACATTGACATCCCTAGTGAGGAATAAACTGCGGCCTGCAGGCCACATGCAGCCCCTTGGGGCCCATAACACATTTTGTTTACTTTTACCCATGCTCAGGGTTGTCAGATTCCGGTGGTTTCCATCTAGTTTTTTTTCCTATCGGTATTACTAAAATGACACACACATAAACAAGGGCAGATGAAGTGAGGTGCATGCTGATTGCACACAACATCGACTGTGAACTGTGTAATCCCTCTGCATCCAATCAAAGTGCTGCCATGGTTCAGTTGGCAGACCCCACAAATTCCAGATACATAGGTGCTGTTAGCAAAACTACCCAATCCCAGTAGACCATATTGGTTACAACAAGCTTGCTGAGATGGAGGGCCGCACGTGTGACCTGCTCACTGTCCTAAGTTGCTCATTGCTTCACTAAAGGCTGGTCTTCCCTAGAGCTTATGTTGACGTATTCAGCATTAGGTTCATTTTGTAATGAATATGTCTGTGCTGCCCATCCCTTCTATTGACCTAAAGCATTTTTAAAATTGACCCCTATACTTCACCTGAATGAGTGAAGCCTGCGGTGACGTTCATGCCTCCTAGAAACACTGTGCATTGTAATTTTGAGGAAGGGGCCTCCAGGTGGTGATTCATTGTGCTCTTGTGAATCCTCTGACAAGCACTTTGAACTCTTCAGCTAGGTGAATCGGAAAAGTCCCAGGGGAGTGTTTGTATGTTCATTTCCCATTAGAGCAGTGTGGAGTGCACACCAGCACAGCTTAGCTTGCATGGCCTCCAGCATGAACCATTCAGGAGACAGTGGATCTGATTCATGGGGGTGGGGGAAGACTCTGTGCAGGCAGAGCTCTAAAGCAGCAAAAGAAATGCTAAAATGTATGCCAAAATTACACTAGGCATGGTTGGTAAGGGCCACACCAAGGACACTCAGAAATGCCGCCTGAAAATAAGGAACTACATGTATACTACAGGACAAGGCTGGTTCTGAGACACAGACATAGGAAACTGATCACATGCACCCATAATCATCCGCAGCAATGTTTTAGTCGCATGAGGCTTTGGGACCTTAGCCCAGCATTTCAGTCTGCTGCAGGGACTGTGGGACAGAGCACAGTGCATCACTCCTTGAGTCAATATAACCCCTGGTAGTAAGGTTTTGCTCTGTTGACAACAGTCACATAATGGGAACATGCAAAATTGTGCTCGTTAAATTGGTTGCTCACAGTCAAATTAAATAAAATCAACCTAATTTTCTAGTGTAGACATGCCCTAAGTTACTTTGCCAAATATTTCTTACTGTTGCTATTTCAAGTTGTATTACCACCAGTGCATTTGAAATTTAGAGATGGTGTGGGTTGTTGGTTGCAGGTGTGGCACCAATTCATCTTGAGTTGGTTAAAATACACTACAGTAAAAATACAAGTGGCGACAGGACTTTTTTCCCTGAGAGCAGAGTGGAACTGATTATATCAATAGTGGAGAATACTTATTCCTTATAAAATGAGGTTAACAGGGGCTTTCAAAAGAGGGTTTTTTTCCCCAGCATTTGACTCTGTGTAGATGGGCCAAATATCGGAAAAATCTCTTCCAGGAAAAGAATTGGAACAAGATATGCAAATGCAAGCATGATTTGCATACCTTCTTTTGAACCTCCCTTCCCCCGCCCCTCCGCAGTGTAGCTGTACCCTCAGTGCACGGTGTTGGACTTGATGACTTCTTGAGGTCCCTTCCAGCCCTATATTTCTATGATTCTATTTTTTCAAATGTTAAAGTAAAAGGCTAGTGTCAAACAGAATTTGTGTTTTCAGTTTTTTTTTAGTTTGTTAGCTAATATGGTATTTCTAAAATTATCTTTGCCTTAGAATGAAAGGAAAGAAATATTCCTAAAGCCAGAGGGAGATTCAGCAAATCAAGGGAAATCAGAAACAGAACAGAAACAACCCGAACAAAAAAATAAACAACATATTGCTCAAAAGCCCCTCTCTTTACATACAAGTCTTGGGTATGTATATATAGGAAAATCAAATGTAGAACTTAGGTATTCAGCACCCTAATATTGTGAGGGGTGGTGGGCATTCATTATTTTGACATTGGAATCAACTGCATTACCTTGTATATCTGTATTACACTTTATATCCATATACATCTTTTTTTCCACTTCATATCAGCATTGTGATTGTGCTTGCTGTGCATAAGCCAAGACATTGCAGCATTCTTCACCAGCTCACTCTGGATCATTGCAGTGCTGCACACACAGGCAATTCAGTTAGTTCTTGTAGTGCAGTCCCCCATTGCTGTAGGTTATCATTCAGTGACTGCTTTGAAAATTTTGGCTGCCAACTGAGTCACCTGTAAATTTGCTCACTTATTGGTTGCATGCAGGCCCTGAGGTACTTGGTGGTTCTCTGCTGCACCATGCCTCATACATTAACATGAAAACTTGCAAGTGCCATAAAGACACCTGAAAAATATGGAGAAAACTGAGTTGGTCAGATAATTCTATGGGTATTGCATACACCTTCTGCTTCTCAGTATACTTACATTGCTTTGGGAGGTCATACTCTTCTTTTTAAAGCAGGAGCTCCTATGCTTTTGAGGTCTGAAAAAGAGAGAGAAAACCCCAGAAAATGGACATCAATCAAAAATGTACAATCCACTCTTGCCACCTTCTAATAAATTAATGTGCCTCCCCATTGTTTTTTTTCACCCACTTTTCTTTTTTTGAGGTTTTACTAGGGCAGGGGTGGCTCAATGTCTTCTCTGCAGGCCTGGACCACTCTTATCTCTGGACCTTGGGAGATCAGTTTGTTTTGCTACAAACCAAGAAAAAACACAAATACAACAGATGCATTTATTCATGGAAAAATAAATGAAAATAATGAGATTAGTTTCCTTAACTCTTTGGTTGTTAATGTTTTGGCCTTCAGACTCAGAGTCATATTAGCAGTAGCTTTTGAAGGCTGGTGATCCTCTGCCATGATATCTGTTGCGAGGCTGTAACCCTCTGCCCCTCATGATCCTGCAGCGGGTATTTGTGCAGAAAAGAAGCACACAAAGCAGTCATTAGAGCAAACCCAAATTGTGAACACATGCAAACACACAACATTCATCTTTTGATTGACTTGTATCAGTTGCAGATTCATTCTGTATTTTGCAGGATATACTCCTGGAAAGGAATTAGTTTTAGTTTTGATGCACTCCAGTGTTGCCTCTTGAACTGGTTTAATTGCACCATTGTAAGTAGAACATAAAGGACCAAGTTGTGATAGTTTCAGAGAGGGAAAACAGACTTTGCTCAAAAATTAGGGAAGGTTTCAACTATGATTTTTTCCTCCATATTAATATATGCTAGGTTAATTTTATTTATGAACTTTTGCCTTTTTATAGTCTGTGTTCCTAAAGAAGTGTTGAACAAAAGTGTTTATTTCAAGTTGATTCTGAAAATGAAGTTAATTGTATTTTGGGCCACGTTAAAAAGATGGTGATTGAAGTGTTCCTGACATTTTAGGCAGACAGAGCTAATTTTTGTATGTTTATGTATGTACATGAGGGATTGGTTGTAAATGATCTAATTTTAGTAAGTCCTGAGCACTTTTGAAAATCCCGCTACTTTTTAAGTGCCTAAATATGGATAAGCCTAACCTGAGGCACACATTTTTTGGAGTTTTGGCTTTGGAATTCATCTTTCATTGTCATATAGCTGATACTATTCAAGAGCACTTGTAATTGTATTTATATAGGTATGATATTTGTGTTTAAGCAATCTGCTAGATAAAAAATAATTGAATTTACAGTTTCCCCCCTCCTCTTAATGTTCTAGGAAGGTGAACACTGAATATAGATCGAAATTTTTGTCCCCAGCTCAATATTTATATAAAGATGGAGCTTGGTCACGTATCAGGAAAAACATACCAAATCAAGTGAGTATCCATATACAATTTTCTAAGCATATAAATATTCTTTTAGGGTCCCACCGTTCTTTTAGGTGCTGCAGTTCCTCATCTCCCATTGAGGGAATTCAGGATTCACCCCCTTTGTAGAGGGATTAAACTCAAGGTACTCCATTTTGTAAAATCCTTGTAATAACCTTGTATAGTCTATGAGACAGGCATTGTCTTCACAGTGGGATTTCTGTGCCTATGACGTGCTGAGAAGATAGGTTCCAACCAGCTATGACCAAAATAGAGCAGAAATGTAATTGAGGTGGTCTGTGGGAAAGTCTTCTGGTTCTAAGTTTTTGCAGATTCATTGTTCACAGAAACTAATGCAGGAGGAGTCAAAAGGAATTGTAATCCAATTCCTTGCTTTGTTGAGATAAAGGTACATTTTTGCCTAAATGTTCATATAGTATTGTATGGGAAACTAATTTTGTACAGGCAGTCCCCGGGTTACATGGATCCGACTTACATTGGATCCCTACTTACAAACAGGATGAGGCAACCCCGCACTAGCTGCTTCCCCCCAGCAGACCAGGGAGACGCGAAGCTAGCGCCTCCCTCCCCCAGCAGACCAGGGAGACGTGGAGCGGCTTTTCTCAGCAGACACCTCAGCTTGAGAATAAAGGACTGAGGGAAGTGAGGTGTGGGAGAATAAAACTGAGCTCTGGAGAAATGTTTGGCTAGAGTTTCCTCTACAATATGTACCAGTTCCGACTTACATACAAATTCAACTTAAGAACAAACCTACAGTCCCTATCTTGTATGTAATCCGGGGACTGTCTGTAATTTGTTGCACTATGTCATTGCAAGATTTTAGAACAACTGAACCTCATCATAATTATGGTGAAATCAAATTTATGAGGACCTAAGAAGACAAAAAACATTCAATATTTTTATATTTTTAGTATGTATTAAACCTCATCTTAGTACAGTTAAAATGTTAGGAATTTCTAGTTTGAGCAGACTCTGACTGCAAGTGTCATGGAAACACTTTTAAAGTGAAATACCATTTTGTCAAATACAGGACTATGTAGCACTTTAAAGACTAGCAAAACGGTTTACTAGGTGATGAGCTTTCGTGGGCCAGACCAGATGGTTTATTAGATGATGAGCTTTCGTGGGCCAGACCCACTTCCTCAGATCAAATAATGGAAGAAAATAGTCACAACCATATATATATATCCTTTGGTAATAAACCATCTTGTTAGTCTTTAAAGTGCTACATAGTCCTGTATTTTGTTTCAGCTACACCAGACTAACACGGCTACATCTCTATCACTATTCATTTTGTCAAATGACATCTTTCTGTGCCTGTAGGATTTTTGATATTGTGGCAGTAACAATCAAAACTCCATGGAGGGAGTTTGAGAGAGTGTGTGGCTGCAGGGTGACCCAAACTAGTTATGAGGTGCATGGTGACAAGAAAATAAAGTAATTATTTGCTGCAATCTTTTTTTCTATCATTTTATAGTCCAGTCACTGCAATACCTATGATAGTCAAGGATGAGGATGCTCTTAATGGAGAACTACTTTGTGCCTTATCCTCATTGGGATCAGGTGGAGATAAATGTGTGTGGCCTTTCATTAGTAAGAGAAAAGAGCACAATCCCTCTCTAGGACAATAGACCTGTGTTTCCAGTTGTCTGGCCTTCCCCAGGAGGTATTTTGTTTATGAAGAGTCACAGGAGATGCTAATTGAAAGTTACAGGACCTCTTTGGTGGCATTCTCAGAAATGCTTCCAGTTCCACACGCAGGCCAGGTAGGCAGGCAGAACTTTAGAGTCTCAGTGTGTGGATGAGACGATGGTGTAGGGAGGAGGGGTTTAGATTTATTAGGAACTGGGGACACTTTTGGGAGGGGGGGAGCCTATACAGGAAGGATGGGCTCCACCTAAACCAAGGTGGATCCTGACTGCTGGCACTAAACATTAAAGAGGTCGTAGAGCAGTTTTTAAACTAAGAGTTGGGGGAAAGCCGATTGGTGTGGAGGAGCACATGGATTGGACAGAGACTTCTCTTAGAGAAGAGTCCATTGATGGAGAATCTCTAGGCTTTAGTCAGAAAGAGAGGAGGGGAGATGATAAAATATGGGCCAGATCAAACAAGAAACAATCACATATACAAGAATTTAATACATCAGGGAAGAGCAGACAAATAAACAATGGCAATTTTTTAAAGTGCTTCTACACAAATGCTAGAAGTCTAAATAATAAGATGGGTGAACTAGAGTACCTTGTATTAAAGGAGAAGATTGACATAATAGGCATCACAGAAACCTGGTGGAATGAGGACAATCAGTGGGACACAGTCATACCGGGATATAAAATATATTGGAAGGACAGACTAGGTCCTGTGGGTGGTGGAGTGGCACTATATGTGGAAGATAATATAGAATCAAATGAAGTAAAAATCTTAAATGAATCAACATGTTCCATAGAATCACTATGGATAGTAATTCCATGCTCTAATAAGAATATAGCAGTAGGGATATATTATTGACCACCTGACCAGGACAGTGATAGTGATGTTGAAATGCTAAGGGAGATTAGAGAGGCTATCAAAATACAAAACTCAGTAATAATGGGGGATTTCAATTATCCCCATCTTGACTGAGTACATGTCACCTCAGGACGAGATGCAGAAATAAAATTTCTTGATGCGTTAAATGATTGCTTCTTGGAGCAGCTGGTACAGGAACCCACAAGGGGAGAGGCAATTCTCGATTTAGTCCTGAGTGGAACACAGGATCTGGTCCAGGAGGTAACTATTACAGTACCAATTGGGAATAGTGACCATAATATAATAACATTGAACAATCCTGTGGTGGGAAGAACACCTCAGCAGTCCAACACTTTAGCATTTAATTTAAAAAAGGGGAATTACGCAAAAATGAGGAGGTTAGTTAAACAGAAATTAAAAGGCACAGTGACTGGAGCCAAAAAACATAGCAAGAGACCTAAAAAAGAGTCACCGTGGCTTAACCACCATGTAAAAGAAGCAGTGAGAGATAAAAAGGCATCTTTTAAAAAGTGGAAGTCCAATCCTAGTGAGGTAAATAGAAAGGAACATAAACACTGCCAAATTAAGTGTAATGTAACAAAAAAAGGCAAAAGAGTTTTTGAGGAACAGCTGGCCAAAAACTCAAAGTAATAGCAAAATGTTTTTTTTAAGTACATTAGAAGTAGGAAGCCTGCTAAAAAACCAGTGGGGCCCCTGGACGATTGAGATACAAAAGAAGCAATCAAGGATGATAAAGCCATTGTGGAGAGACTAAATAATTTCTTTGCTTCAGTCTTCACGGCTGAGGCTGTAAGGGAGATTTCCAAACCTGGACCGTCCTTTGTGGGTGATGAATCTGAGGAACTGTCCCGGATTGAAGTGTCTTTAGAGGAGGTTTTGGAACAAATTGAAAGACTTAACAGTAACAAATTACCGGGACCGGATGGCATTCACCCAAGGGTTCTGAAAGAACTCAAATGTGAAATTGCGGAACTATTAACTGTGGTTTGTAACCTATCCTTTAAATCTGCTTCTGTACTCAAGAACTGGAAGACAGCTAACATAACGCCAATATTTAAAAAGGGCTCTAGAACTGACCCTGGCAATTACAGACCAGTAAGTCTAATGTCAGTACTGGGAAAATTAGTTGAAACAGTAGTAAAGAATAAAATTGTCAGACACATAGAAGAACATAATTTGTTGGGCAAAAGTCAACATGGTTTCTATAAAGGAAAATCATGTCTTACTAATCTATTAGAGTTCTTTGAAGGGGTTAAGAAACATGCGGACAAGGGTGAGCCAGTAGATATAGTATACTTAGATTTTCAGAAAGCCTTTGACAAGGTCCCTCACCAAAGGCTCTTGTGTAAATTACATGGTATAAATTAGATTGGCATGGGATAAGAGGGAAGATCCTTTCATGGACTGAGAATCGGTTAAAAGACAGGAAAGAAAGGGTAGGAATAAATGGTTAATTTTCAGAATGGAGAGGTATAACTAATGGTGTTCCCCAAAGATAAGTCCTAGGACCAATCCCATTCAACTTATTCATAAATGATCTAGAGAAAGGGGTAAGCAGTGAGATGGCAAAGTTTCAAGATAGTCAAGACCAAAGTAGACTGTGAAGAACTTCAAAAAGATCTCACCAAACTGAGTGATTGGGCAACAAAATAGCAAATGGAATTTAATGTGGATAAGTGTAAAATAATGCACATTGGAAAAAATAACCCCAACTATACATACAATATGATGGGGGCTTATTTAGCTACAACTAATCACATAAGAGATCTTGGAGTTATTGTGGATAGTTTTCTGAAAACGTCCACACAGTGTGCAGTGGCAGACAAAAAAGCAAATAGGATGCTAGGAATTATTAAAAAAGGAATAGAAAATAAGACGAAGACTATCTTACTGCCCCTATAAAAAACTATAGTATGCCCACGTCTTGAATGCTGTGTACAGATGTGGTCTCCTCACCTCAAAAAAGATAAAGGTTCAGAAAAGGTTCAGAAAAGAGCAACTAAAATGATTAGGGGTTTGGAATGGGTCCCATATGAGGAGAGGTTAAAGAGACTGGGACTTTTCAGTTTAGAAAAGAGGAGACTGACGGGGGATATGATAGAGGTATATAAAATCATGAGTGGTGTGGAGAGGGGGAATGAAGAAAAGTTATTTACTTGTTCCCATAATATAAGAACTAAAGGACACCAAATGAAATTAATGGGTAGCAGATTTAAAAGAAAGTTCTTCACACAGTGTATAGTCAACCTGTGGAACTCCTTGCCAGAGGAAGCTGTGAAGGCTAGGACTATTACAGAGTTTAAAAAAGAGCTAGATAAATTCATGGATGTTAGGTTCATTAAAGGCTATTAGTCGGGGGGTAAGGAATGGTGTCGCTAACCTCTCTTTGTCAAAGGCTGGAGAAGGATGGCAGGAGATAAGTTGCTTGATCACTGTCTTTGATCCACCCCCTCTGTGGCACC